ACAGACTGTTAGAGTCAAAGGGATTATCTGCCCATTTTCATCTCCTTCCCTGTTATAAAGGAGGAAACTGAGGCCCACAGAAGTGAAGTGAACTGGGCCCAAAGTCATGTGGTCAGTTTGCAGCTGAAACAGGTTAGAAACTCAGTCTTCTGGCTGGGCAAGGTGGCTCATGCCTGTAATCCCAGCACTTTGGGAGGGCAAGGTGGGCGAATCACCTGAGGTCAGGAGTTTGAGACCAGCCTGACCAACATGGTGAAACCCCGTCTCTACTAAAAATACAAAAAATTAGCCTCAGGAGGCTGAGGCAGGAGAATCGCTCGAACCTAGGAGGCAGAGGTTGCAGTGAGCCGAGGTCACGCCACTGCACTCCAGCCTGGGTGTGACAGAGTGAGACTCCATCTCAAAAAAACAAAAACAAAAACAAAAACAAAAAAAACCCAAAGCCTTTGTCAACCCACTGCTTTATTCTTGAAAACAAGTGAGTACTGGTTTCATCAGATGTTAAATTGAATTAGTAAGAGATTTTCCTCCTTCCACCTGTCCTCAAGCAGGGTTGGGTCCTACAGTGCTGTTTCATAGTCCCCATGGAACTCATTCCCCCTAGAATAACCTGTTAGCCTTAGGAATACATAAACACCTGCACAAAAAGATCCCATGTGCTAAGAAGCTAAGAATCTCCAATGAGTGGGGAGAAAGGTATTAGTTCAAGAAATCAACCCTTGGCTTGGGAAATGTCTTCATTGCCTCTTGGGGAGCAAAGGAAAGAGCTTGAAGGACTTTAGCTGTGACACCCTTCTCAGCATAGTGGCCAGGTCCTTCATCCTTCGGCACCTGCCTACCTCTCAGTGGTCGTTCAGAACATTTGTCCCTTCATGTCTTTGCTTGGGTTCTCCTAGACCTGTGTGCAGTCCCCTGAGCTGTGCCTCCTGCAGCCTCCTGGGCTTCGCATATGCTGCTGTCTTGCTTCCCTTCAACTGAAAAACCCAGATTCACCTTTTGCAGTCTTCTGTTTACTTGTCGGTATTCCTTGCTCAGATTAGAAATTGCTTGCCTCACCGCAAGTGCCCGGCAAGGTAGCAGTCAATCCATAGAATGGCATGGCACGTGCACCTGTGCCCTTCCTGCATTTGCCCCTTCTTTCTTCCCCTGTCCCCTTCCCTGTTATGCCAGAGAGCTTGTTCTGTGCAGCGGAGGGTCTGCTCTGGTTGTGTGCCAGTCAGGGCTGGCTGCATTCTCTCCCCCTGCTTTAGCAATTCCTTGCCCTCTCTGAGCTCGCTTTTCTTTGTCACATGGGAGCTGATTCGTTGGGATCTCATGGAGGCCCTCAGCCCCATGCAGTTTGGTTCCAAAATTGAATCAAAATCTCTGAGCTTGTGGAGGAAGAGGTTTCCTTTGGGCCTGTGGGCTCAGGTGGGCTGTGCTGAGCTTTACCTGAGGGAACACATTACCCACCAGGCTCACACCTGTAGGCAGGGCCTGCCTGCGACACCCTCCTTCCCAGCTCAGCAAGAGCCGTTCTCCAGAGACCCTCTGTGGACTCAGGTCTCCCCCTCATCAGTGCTTGTGGCTCTGCAAGCTTCTCACTAGGAGCGTTCGTGGTGAAAACTCTCACAAAAATAGCTTCAAGCTGGAACGAGGAAAATAAAATAACTCCAGCCTGTCCCTGCCAAAAACAACAAAGCAACAGTGTGCGAGCAGCTAGCCCAGCCCTCTGGCAATGAATGCTCACAGCGAGGCTCAATTACTCTCTCTTCAGCTGCGGCACATCTCCCAGATCCTGTGTCTGGGGCCATGTGCCATTAATTAATTAATCAATTGATCGATTGATTGATCCAATCCTCTGAAGTCACTGAGCATTCAACCCTGTGGCTTGGACTTGTCATTGCTCCAAATTCCTAGCCTTGGTGTCATCTTTTGGGTCACTCCTGAAAATGGGCCAACTCCCTGAGTCTCCCCTGTCCACCAGACCTCCCCAGGTCCACACTAAGGAAATGATTGCACAAACAACTACTTGTTTGACGGGAGGATCACAAAAACACACCCCCGCACTCGAATTTAGACTGTGTCTTTTGTTAACAGCCGATTAATAATAATCAGTAGCTGGCTATTGATTTGCTCTCTTGAATTTCCTTTTTTTCTTCTTTAAACAGGTAAATAATATAGACCTGGTTTAAGCTGAACAAAGCCAGAATCCTCAAATCCATACGAGCGCAGACATATGTAAGCCCTGAAGCAATCCAAATGCATCTAAATATTCTTTGCTGTATCACAAATGGATCTAATTTTTTTTTTTTTTTCTGAAAAGGAAGCCAGAAATCCAATGAAGCAGTTCAAATTGTAATTTAAGCTATAGATTTTTTAAAAATTTATGAAGCTGCTAAACCGGAACGAGGCAGAAGCATCAGAGAGACTCCCGACTAATTGAACAGTCATTTCATTTGGTTCCTGTCCCTGGTAGGAGCGGTCCAAGGCCAGCCTCTGGATCCCTGTTCTTCTGCATCTGACAGTGTAGATACCAGCAGGGCATTTGCCAGCCTGATGTAGTCATGGGTGAGTTTGTCTCAGGAGAGGGACTTTGACACTCTGGCCCAGTATGGAAAACTGGTCACTGTCAGTCCTTCTTGTTTAACGTGAGTCACCTTGGTGGGTCTGCAAATGGAATTGTGAACCTCGGAGCTTAGCGGTATAGCTTTGGCACTGCCACTAACTCACTATGTGACCCTAGGCCAGGCCCTCCTCTCCCCGTGAGAGTCTGCTCAATTGGAAAATGAGGACATTAAGCTACCCGATCCAGCAGGCCTGTGGGCCTGTGGTAGACAGAGTAATGTCCCCCAAAGATGTCCCTATTCTAATCCCTGGAACCTGTGAATATGTGACCTTACATGGTAAAGGGGGCCTTGAAGAGGTGGTTAATTTAATAATCCCAAAATGGGAAGGTTATCCTGGATTATGCAGTAGGTCCAGTGTCATCAAAAGGGTTCTTTAAAGGCTGGGCATGGGGGCTCACACCTGTAATCCCAGCACTTTGGGAGGCTGAGGTGGGCAGATCACTTGAGATCAGGAGTTTGAGACCAGCCTGGCCAACATGGAGAAATCCCATCTCTGCTAAAAATACAAAAGCTAGATGGGCATGGTGGTGGATGACTGTAATCCCAGCTACTCGGGAAGCTGAGGCAGGAGAATTGCTTGAATATGGGAGGTAGAGGTTGCAGTGAGCTGAGATCGTGCCACTGCACTCCAGCCTGGGTGACAGAGCGAGACTTTGTCTAAAAAAAGAAAAAGTGTTCTTTACAAATGGAAGAGGGAAGCAGGAGAGAAGTCACGGTTAGAGGGAGATGTGCCTGTGTGGATTTATGACAGGAGAAGGACTTAATCCGTCATGGCTGGCTTTGAAGATAGAGGAAGGGGTTGCAAGCCAAGGAATGTGGGCAACCTCTAGAAGCTGGAAAAAGCAAGGAAACAGAGTCTCCTGTAGAACTTCCAGAAAGAAACACAGCCTTGCTGGCACTGGGTTTTAGCCCAGTGAGACCTGTGTCAGACTTTTGACCTATAGAACTGTAAGATAATACATTTGTGTTGTTTTAAACCACGAAAGTAGTAGTTATTTGCAATGGCAGTGATAGAAAACCACACAAGACCCTTTCTGGCAACTTCACACTCTTTAAGAATAAAACCTAGCTTGGCTGACAGCTGGCAACCCCATCTGGGAGAATGCTTGGGAGGAGCTATCACAGGGGTGCTCTGTCCCAGCTGCCTTCTGCAGCCCCCAGGACTACCAGCTCCTGGCCATGCTTGGGCGTGAGCATCCCACTGGGCAGGGAGGCAGGTGCTGTTATGGCACTTTGAGTCTCAGGAGATCATCTGGTCCTGCATCTTCCCTTCACACAGGTAAGGTACTATCTTCATCCAAAAATTAACGAGCTGTGCCTGGAGAGGTGCATGGTCTCACCCACTGTCACACAGCTACGGAGAGAAGAAGGCCGTGGGGCCAGGGCTCGTAACTCCTGGTGGGAGACTCTTCCATTTGTCACATTGGGCAAGTAACTTTTGTTTGTGTTAGTGGGTCACGAAGGAGAGACAGACAGGGAGGTTGGATGGCAGAACGGGATCAGAACCCTGAACCTCTGGTGTAGCCAGTGCTTTCTGAGCACCTGTGCGTGAGGTGAAAGGCACAGCCACATTAGGCCTTTCTTCACTGCTTGAGGAGAGACTTTGAGTTGGGAGTGGTGAGGGCCGGGAGGGAAAGTAAAAGATTAGGTTAAAGGAACTGCTGCTATGGAACCAGCATGGTGCTAAGGATGAGGATTCTGCCTGAACAGGAAACTCTCTTTCACACCTGGAGGCTGAAAAGGGCATGCCCTACACCCATAACACCAAAAGGCACCTCCCAACCTCTCATTCCACCTCTAAGAAGTCATGGGGAGCAAGGCAGAGTGCCAGCGTGACCTCTGGGGAGCAAGGCAGAGTGCCAGCGTGACCTCTGGGGAGCAAGGCAGAGTGCCAGTGTGACTCTGGGGGGCAAGGCAGAGTGCCAGCGTGACCTCCGGGGGGCGAGGCAGGTCGGTTTACTGGGGGTGGGGAGGCCAGGAAGGCTTGTGTGTGGGAGGGAGGCCATGCTGGGGCCTGAGTCCAGCCCAAATTCACCGACGGGGTCAGAAGGGGTCAGGGTAGCAGACAGATCACAGGGGGACACAAAGTCCTCCTTGATGGTTTCCATGTCTGGGCAGCGTTCTCCAGGTCACGTGATTATGGTCCAGGGCAGCCTCCTTCAGAACGCGAGCTGTGGCCCATCAGTGGGACTCGAAGACATTTACAAGGTTGTGAGCAATCATTAACAACATTTAGAGTAAACATATAGAGTATGCACAGTTTGTAAAGGTAAGTGTCGTTGCATAAAACTTTCCAGATACACAGTCTGCAGTTTTGACCTGGCAGGCCTTTCCTAGGCCCTGGAGGGAGAGAGACTTGGATGTGGAGAAAAGGTGGAAATAACTCAGCCATTTCCACAAGACCAGCTTTTAATATGACTGTGATTTGAAGCACAAATAAATAAACGCCAAAGAAAATGGAGAAACCAAACCAAACCTCAGAACATCAAAACTAAAAAAAAAAAAGCAAAACAAAACAAATCTCCATCGGACAAACATAAAAGTCCCCCTATCCCAGATAAAAAGAATCAGACTGTACAAGCTGTGTCACAGGGAGAGAAGAACGACATGGCCACCATGGGTGAACACATGAGCCCCCCGCCTGCTGGCTGCTGTGCCGCCGTCACAGGCTCTGGGGCGGGAGGGAGGTTGGCACAGGTCACCTTAGGCGCCAAAGCCCCATGGACCAGCTTGGGGAAAAGGGGGTTTGTGGGGAGGTTAAGAACCTTCACAAACGACACAAGAACTGAATGTAGCAGAGAGTCCCACGGGTTCCCTCTTGATTGTGCAGTTCTGATTCCAGGGTGGCCTCATGGTGACTTTGGACCTGGAATCTGGTCCCACTGCACGGGCAGCGGTGTGGACACTGGAAACCACGTGGAGGAATGTCATGTACAAGACAGACGTGGAGGTGGCGCCATAAGAAGTCTGAGCATGCAGGTGCTTTATACATCTGGCAGTGAGATGTGATGGCAGGTTCGTTCCTGGACAGTTCCAGAGTGTGACTCATCTCTCCTAAGAGGGACGCACGGCGGGGCCCAAGGACGCGTCGCGCTGGACGTGGCCGGAGCGAGGTCTAGGCAGCTAGTCTGCAATGTGTGCATAGGGGGCTCTTGCTTCTTTCCAGCATCAGGGGCCATTCCACCTGAGCTTGCTCTTCCTTGTCCTGGTCTTGGGCCTCAAGGTCTGTTTGGAGGGGGTGCTGGGTGGCTCGAGGGGTGTCAGCAGGCAATCTCCTCCAAGGTCCCCAGGGCCGTCTGCAGGGGCACGTTCACAGTGTGGCTGATGGTTTCAGAGTGGTTTGGCATTGTGTCACAAGTACTCTGGAAGGGAAAGGTTTGGTGGGAGTTTATTATTCGCTCAGCAAAACTTCACTGTGATGCCACCAGCTGCCCAGCCTAGGCCCTGGGGAAGGTGCTCCCCACTTCTGGGCTGCTCCTGCTCCAGACATCTGATAGGCTGGTTTACCATCTTGGGGGCATGAGGCTGAATGGAATCCTTACCATTGCACACTTGGGCGCCCGCTACGGCAGTGAGAAGGCTCCTTGGTTTGATCGGCAGTTGGTTTGATCCCTCCTAGAGGTGCCCCTCATGTAACTGGACCTATATCTGAGTGGTCTCTAGCTTTGGGGCTGGATGGTCCTGAGTCCTGACCTCTCCCCCGGGGGCCTCCCTTGGGGCTATGGTGCAGGAAGTACAGCCCGTGGCTAGGCCTGGGGCAGGAAGGACCCATGGCTGAGGCCAAGCAGGAAGGGTAGAAGGCCTTAGAGCTCAGAACCAGAGCTGGCCAGTCCTTGGGTCAGTCCCCAAGGACTTTTAGGGTTAGGCTGGACCCAGAGAAACATAGCCGTGGGTCCCTAAGCACGGAGGGGCTGAGCTGGCCACACATGAATCTCCAGGGTGGTTCCCAGGCTGCGGTGGGTGGGAGGCCGAGAGGGATTGGAGCAGGGACGGCTAGCCAGGAGGCTGTGCCAGGAATTTGGGGAAGATTTGATGGGGCCACAACTAGGGGAGGAGGAACAGGATGGAGAAGAGGCCGTGACACTGAGACCTTCTGAAGCAAGGGGGGCTCTGAGGGTGCAAAGGGAACCACTGTCTAAGCACCTACTATAAACTAAGTGCTGTGCTGACTGCTTTGCCGGCAGGATCTCACTTAACTCAGGTGACAGCCCCCTGTGGTCTGATCTGATGCAGATGCTTAGAGAGGTTAAATATGTAACTTGCCCCCAGGCACACAGCCAGGAAGCCGGAGCCTTGGGATCCAGCCAGGCCAGCTGAGGCCAGACCGGGGCCCCTTCCACACTGCCCTTCCCCTCCCCACTTTCTGTTCCACAGAGGTTGCAGGGGACCAGAGAATCAAAGCAAGATTTGTAGACAGTGTGTGAAACAGAAATGGAATCCATATAGGGGGAAGGGGCTGGGGTCCATTTTGGATTTGTTGATATTAAGTGGGTGGTGGTCACCCATGGGCACCGTTTTCCAGGGCTGGAGGTGCTGATTTGGGGCACAAGGCTGGATGGGGAAAGCCGGCAACATCTGCACCCATCAGCCAAGGCCTGAACCCAGGAGTAGACTGAGTTTGGGAAGGAGAATGACAAACAGCCATAGAGGGGCTGCCTCTCGGGCTATAGGAAAGAGGCAGAGTAGGGCAGTGGTTAGAAGTGCTTGGAGGGCAGCTCTGACACTCAGCAGCTGTGGGACTTTGGTCTCTGGGCCTCGACTGCCTCAAATACAAAGTGCCTGACACGTACCAGGCACACGATAGTCAGTAGCTATAATGGGCACTATTGCTACTTCCAACTTCATGGGGCTCCATACTCTGTCCGTTTTGAATGGGATGGAGAGCCAGTGATGCTCTGCTTGTACTTTGCCACCACTGGGGAATAAAGGAATAGACGTACAGAGCCTGTCCACTTCTCCCCCTGCTGTGAGATGAGGGGAGCAGCTGTCTGCCTGAGAGAAGCTGGATTGGGCCAGGCAGGTCCTACATTTGGAAGCACCTCCTGGTGTCTGCTGCATCCATACTGGCTTCTGGGATGAGTCTCAGAGAGAGGCTCGAGGCTCAGCTGGAGTGTCCTTGGATTTGGGAAGTGACAGCATGTCCCAAGCCATAGAAAGGTGTGCAGTGAGTCACATCTTTCCTGCCCGGCCCCAGTATCTGGTTTCCTACTGCTGGTACAAGCCAGAGCAGCAGAGCAACTTCCAATCAGTGAGCTGCTCTTACCACATTCTCATCGTGGCTCCCGTCGTCCTCCTCTTTGCCAAGCAGGTCTAATAGCTTCTCTTTGATCAGCTGCAAGAAAAGCAGGAAGGGGTTGGTCAGGCTGCAAGGAGGGTGTGGAGATAGAAGGGACCTCCCTCCATTGGGCCCTGCTGGGGCTGGCAGCTGCCAGGGCTGTGGCTGGACATACTGTAGCACAAGCCCAGCCTGGCAGCCAGCTCCAGGTGCCTGTCTGTCTCAACCCAGCCTTTCGGCTGAAATGGGATTTTGTTGCAGGAGATGGAGCTTGGAAGAGGTAATGGCGGGCCCTGCTTCACAGCGTGGACTGCTGTCTTTGTGGCTGGTGAGTGTTAGTAAGTGGTGTGTGCTGGTACGCTGGCTCCCTGTCTGTCCTCAGGAGCAGCCTGGGACCCCCTTTCTGTGGCTGGGGCTGGGGGACAAGATTATTATTCAGTGTCTAGGCCTGACACTGCACACAATTCAGAAGACCTAGACATGCCTGAGTTCATAACGTTTTACTCCTAGCAATAAAGCATAGTTCTTAAATCTGTTACCTGGTGTGATTCAATTGCCATAACTGCGTACAGTTTTTCACGGAGGTCAATAAACAAAGCAGAATAAAATCTGGCCATGGGAACTGATGTGGTTTTGGAGTCACTGTGCTGAGAGGCACGAGATTCTCCAGAGAAGTCTGGTCACTGGGGCACGACAGGTCCCCACTGTGGTTCCGAGCAGCCTTTGGTCACGAACAGCCCCCTGTGAGAGGCAGAACATGGTTCTGCAGGTTCCTGTCTACTGCTCCGGTTTGGGGGACTTCACAGGTCCAGGCATTCCTTGGAAGTTCTGGAGCCATTGCCTTTTTCAGGGGTGCATGTTGGAGGTGAAGTGCATTGCCCATCTCACAGCCAGGGGGATGGAGGCCTCCAAGGGAACACCCGTCAAAACAGAGCCTGGGATAGTGGCATCCACACGCTCGCTCTCAGAGAGATGCAGGTGAGAAGGCTGACCAGCTCCAGGAACCCTCAGTGCCAGAGAAGCTTTCAGAGGCCTCGTTCCAGGCATTTCTTGAGGAAGACATCTCCCCAGACTGTTAGCAGCTGAGACGGCTGGCTTGCCCTGCTGTCTTCTTGCTCAGGATTGGTGAGGACTGCTGGGAAGTGCCCCTTCCCTAAGACTGGCTGGGCCATGGAGAACATGACTCAGGCGATGGGCCACCTACTGGGCCACCTACAGGGCAGGTGTGTGTGTGTGGGGGGAGTACGTGTGCAGGTGTGGACATGCCCATGGATGAAGCCACCACCTCCAGCCCAGCTTCAGGAGGGGCTCGGAGCTGGCCTCAGCACAGTCTGGCCTAACTTCCGCTCATCCCTCCCCATCCTTCCCTGCCAGTGTAGATGGCCCAGTGCTGTTCCAGCTCCCAGAGGATAGGCCTGTGTTTCTCTTATATCCACCGCCCCCCAAAAAACTCCCATCCCCTTGCCCCACGGTGCCTGGGCTTCAGTGATCGACTCTATGAGTAGACAGGAGGGGAAGCAGACTCTGCATGGAGAGAGGCACCGCCTTCCTTCTACCGTGTTTCTGAACCTGGGGCACGATGAGGGCACCAGCAAGCGGTCATTTCCCTGCAGGGAATCCCAACTCTTACCTCATAAATATAATCAAAGAGCTCTAGTATTGTAAGGATACTAGCACCAATGAACAATCCCATCTGACCACCAATATCACCTGGAGAGAGAGGGAAAAGACCAAAGCTTTGCTTTTATGCAGCTTCCAGGAAGGGTGAACAGACTGAGATGCAACCCAGACCTTCTGAATGGCGCCCCCTCCACGGGGAGCCTGGGCCTTGTTGTGGGAGGTCCAGGCCTTTGGCAGCTCCTTCCCTCACTGCACATCTCTGAGAGCTACTGTTTTTCTGCATTCAGTGGGGTCAGGGACTAAGCTGACGGCTTATTGGAAGGGCTTAGACTAGATCTCATGATCCACAGTGCTAATGGAGTTGTTCAGGTACACTCAGAACCACACCGATTGGGTCCTGCTTTGACTCTGGGCTGGGAATAGGCAGAATAGAGAGCTAGGATGTGTGTGGACTGGTGGCAGGCGCCCTGGGTGGGAGTCTTGGGAAGAGATGCCCCCCCACCAATCCAATCACGGCATGGGCTTCAGGGCCACCTTGGGGCACCTCCCACCCTTGGGATAAGGTCATAGGTGTCTCCTTTCTCCCCCATCCAAAAGTTAGTGTGCAATTTTGACTCTTTCTAGAGCTGAGGTTCTTACTCCGGGGTTTATAGGCCCCCGTTGTTCAAAGTTTTTCTGGATTTGTCTTCAGATCCCCCTGCATCCAACTCTCCTGGAAGAACTGTAATCAGTGTTGCTGCCTGGATACACCTAGGCCAATAGAATCAGAGCCTCTGGGGTTGGGGTCTGGATGTCAGGATTTTTAAGTTTCTGCTGGAGGTGAGGTGCGTTCTCAGGCCCACCAGAGTTTGAGAACCACTGTCCTGGGAGTACTTCAGATGGCTGGAGACTCTCCTGAAATTGAATGTGAAATGTGTGTGCTTGGGCATTTGTAGCAGGAGAGTCCATAGCTATTATCAGTTTCTAACAGGGGTCCTGAGTCCCCAAAAGCTTAAGATGCTTTGCTGCAGAGGCAGTGTGGCAGAGGGCTGAGGGCTCTGAGGCTCTGAGTCCAGAGAGTGGCCACCAACTGGTTGTGTAGCTTTCATAAGCCCTGACCTTCTGAGGAGCTTTGCCTCCAAACGACATTTGGTGGTGGTGGCAGGATGGAGGGGATTGGATGAGATGAACTATGAAGTTCTTTCTAGCCCTAATCTCTAAGACTCTCGGTCTCTGGAAAGAGGGGCAGGAATTGGGATTGGGGGGCAGAGTTCGGGGTGGCTGGTCAGTTCTCTTGGAGATGCCAGGTTGACCTCTTGGCCTGAGAACTCTCTGGTGGGCAGATCTGCCCCACTCCTTCTCAGCTTATGGCTGCAGGGCGGCCGGGGGGAGGTCCCCATGCCCATGAACTCAGGTGAACTACAGAGATGATGGGGAGAGGGCTCTTCCCAGTGGAACTTGGTGCTGGGCTCAAAATGGCTCAAAAAGGCTCTCCCTCATTCCTTTCCCATCACCGCTCCCTCTCATGTCTTTAATGGAGGTTTCTTGGGGACTGTGTTCTAATGGATATGTATGTCAGGTGGGAGGCGTGTGATGTGCATGTGCAGTGTGAGTCTGTGGTGGTAGAGTGCGGGGTATGTGCCAGGGTCCAGGGTGTGTGCACGTATTTGTATAAAAGCAGGCAGGAGGTCTGGCTGTCCATGGTTTTATGTAGGTGGCTCTCCCTGTCTATTTTAGGCACTCTGAGTGTGTCTAAGTGTGTGTGAGTGTGGGTCTGTGGAGGTGAGCAGAGTGTGTCTGAGTGTGTAGAGCATGTGTAGTGTGGGTGTGCTTGTGTGTGTATATGGGGCCGTGTGGGGGCTGTGTGCATGGGTGTGTCTCTGGAGCTGTGGGATTGGCACGTGGGGCTGTAGAGGTATGCATTTGTGTGTGTGGTCCTGGACCACCGTGGGTGCATGAACCTGTAGGTTTGGTGTGTGTGTGTGCAGACCGGGGTGGGGTACACTGTGGGTAGTGCGAACGCTGTGTAGCGTGCATGTGCATGGACACCAGGAGGTGAGAAAGGGCCATGCGGTGTTGAGAGAAGGGCCTGATGACTGAGGGTTTGCAAGCGGCGCACGCTCTCATCACAGGAGGTCCAGATGGCAGCATGAGCTCCTCAGCCGGCTATTCTGGGTGGGAACACGTTCGATGCTGGGAACAAGCTCATATCTGATGCAGACACGACAGATTCAGAGCTCAGGCCCTTCTTGCTCTCTATGTCTCTCTCTCTCTCTCTCTTTCTCTCTCTCTCTCTGTGTGTGTGTGTGTGTGTGTGTGTGAGAGAGAGAGAGAGAGAGAGAGAAAGAAAGAGACACACATAAAGAGAGCAGAGAGACAGAGGAAGACTGTGAGCCTATGCTGGGGGAGGGCAGGGGGTAGGAAGAGGCCTGTCCTGGGTCCTCTTTATGGAAATAAAGGGCAAGGCCAGCACAGGGGTGAGTGAGCGGTCTATGTTTCTGGTGGGGCCTAGGGCATGAGTCTCTTGGCTCAGTACCTTTGGTCACAATGACTTCTGAGGCTGAGTGACAGCCACTTTAACCTAGCTGGGACCGAGCTATGGTGGGGAGTCCCCAGCCTCCTGGAGAAAGTGTAGAAATGCTTAGCCAGCCCTTGGACACAGCAGCTGAGCCCTGGGTCCCTGGCATAGTGACTGTCCAGGTGCCAGGAACTACTATTTATGGACCTTTCCTGGGCTAGGGGTTTATCACATTTAACCATCACAACAAGCTCATAAAGTGGGTTTTATTAAACCCATCTTGCGGATGAGGAACCTAAGGTTCAGCAAGGTAAAGTTACTTGTCCATATTCTCATAGCTGGTGTGAGAAGCCAGGTAGTAGGTATCTGCCCCTTCCAAAATGCTAACGTCACCTGGTTCAGCTCATGGAGACAACAGCTATTTCTCTTTCTGGGGCACAGGCATCAGATCCTTTCTTGAGAGTGAGTGGGAGCTGAGAGAAGCGCTCGAGAGTCAAGTCCTTTAACTGTGCACTCTTAGGGGTCTTGTGAGTTTTGGGTTGGGCTGGGGTAGGATGGAAATTAGCTCCCTGTATCCATCATATGCCACTGGGGCCGGCGAGCTCATGCGAACTTGTATGGGGTGGCAGCAGGTTTGTAGATACCTGTGAAGAGTGACCCTTCATTTGTGTTTGACAAATGACTCAGTCCAGGGGACAACACCTGGCCTTCCGGATGCAGCAACGTTGCTTTTGGGGTGAAGCTCCATCAGGGCCCTTACCTCCCAGGTCCCACCTGGGACCACCCACAGTTCAGCCTTCCCTCCTTCTCTCCTTCTGATACCTCTTCCCCCTCTCCATGGCCCCAGGATCCTGACTGCAACCTGGGGCAGAAGACCATGAATTCTAAGAGTGCAGGGCTGGAAAGGCCCAGAGGCCTTTAGGCTGACCCTCCTCATTGGATAGATGGGGAAAATGAAGCCAAGATTGGGGAATAAATTGGGCCTGAAATTCCACCCCACTGGGGTTCTTTCCATTCTGGGAGAGGCGCAGTGCAAGGAAAGAGGGAGCAATTGTTAGTAAATTAAAAGGTTAGACTCCTCCAAGGCTATGTGTCTGTCTGCTTGCCTCCCATCCACCTGTACATCCTCCCTCCCTCCCACCCTCTATGAGATGTGGAAATTTGTGCAATAGACACTAACTTACCAAGTAAGGCAGCAACTTCATACGCCTTCTTCTGTTCAATTGTCTCATAATTGAGAGCTTCAAAAAATATATCCAGAACGAGGATGTTCTCTCTGCAGAGAGAATAGTCAGTACCATACACGGTTAGAGCTATCAGCATGCACAGGGAGCATCTAATACAGCTTTCCCATGGAAAGATGGAGAAACGGAGACCCAGGAAGTGAGGCAGCTTGCCCGAAGTTAGAGCTGGTTAGTGGCAGAGCTGCGGCTTCAAGTCAAGAAGCCTGACTCCCAGCCCAGTTCCGGAGGCCTACATCAGCTACCTCCTTTTGTTCCTTATTTCTGTCTCCCTGCTTTCTGTTTGCACCCTTTGCAGGAGTCCTGCCTGGCTTCCAGGCCTCTGCACCTCCAAAGGCCCTGCCTGGTCTTCAGTATGAAGGTGAGTTTCAGTAATCTCTTGACATGGCTTGCCTTGGCTAGGGTGCCTGCTCCAGCTGACCTCATGGGTAGCCCCTGCCCACTCCTGAGACCCCCTAAATTCCCCCTGGGATTTATAACAAGCTCCTCCTGGTGGGAGGCCCTGCTCTGGCATTGCCGAGTCAGTTGCTGAAGTCAGGGAAGGTTTGTAGGGAGCAAACTTGTATCTGCCTGGGGCGTGTACTGGCAGAAGCATGGCGGCTTGCTTTGCTCCTTTGGGCAGGAGTGTGAGTGAGACACATCTTGGCAGTAAAAGTTGTTACTGCCTGCAGACTGTGCCAAGCAGCAGGGCCTGGCATCTCCTACAATTCCCGTCTCCTCCAACGTGCTCACAATACCTTCAGTGCCCCTTGTTCTCAACCCACTGAGCAAAAGCTGGCTGAGGATGGGGGTCTGGGGACAGTGTTGGCAAGAGGGAGGGGCTGGCGAAGAGAGGAGCAGATTCTTCTTTCCGTGAGCAGAGCTCGCAGGGCAGCTGTTCAAAGTATCACCCTCTCTTGCTTGGCTTGCCACAGCTGCTTCCTAACTTCTTCCCATCTGCCTTTCCCCCGTCTTCTCTATCGCCGCCTGAAGGATCTTTCTAAAACTGCTAAATTGATTCAAATTAAATAAAATTACAGTTCCACTCCCCAGTCACAGGCTGCATTTCAAATGCTCGTTGGCCACATGTGGCTAGCAGCAACCCCACTGGGCACTGCAGACACAGAACATTTCCATCATTGCACAGTATTTGACCTATTGGGGAGCAGTGGTCAAAAATGCAAATTTGAGTCTGTCACTCACCTCTGAAAGCTCTTCAGTGGATCCCTATTCTGTTAGGATAAAGCCTACACCCTGCGTCCACTCGGCTCAGCCTACAAGACCCTCTTGCTCTGACACATCCATGCCCCTCTTTGAAGTTTTCTCTTCTGCCCTGTGCTGATGGTCTCTGCTGAGCCTCTGCCTAGGACACCCACTTCTCCTATGCTTCCATTCATTTATTCTGTTAAAATACATTGTTTTGAGTGCCAACTCTGTGCCGTATGCTCCACTAGTATTTGGCAGACAACAGAGAACAAAAAAGATAGTTTCCTGCCCTCAGGGGGCTTTCAATCTAGTGGGGCAGACAGGTAATAAACAAGGAAACACAACATGACTATGTAATTACATGCTGTAGTGTTATAAAGGAAAACACCAGAGGACTTTGAGAGAAAAATAACAGGAGTGCCCCTCATCTAGATGCCTGAGATAACTTCAATTTTATTTTTATTTTTGTTTTATATTTGTTTTAGAGACAGGGTCTAACTATGTTGCCCAGGCTGAGCTTGAACTCCCGGCCTAAAGCAATCCTCCTGCCTTGGCCTCCCAAAACATTGGGATTACAGGCATGGGCCACCATGGCTGGCTGGAGATGACATTTAATTGGAGACCTGCTTAAGGAGGAACCAGTTAGGTGGAGGGTGGGAGGAAAAGAATTCTAGGCAGAGGGAATAGAATGTGCAAGTTCTGCCTGGAAAACTATACATCCTTTAAAGAAATCTCTGGGCCGGGCGAGGTGGCTCACGCCTGTAATCCCAGCACTTTAGGAGGCCGAGGTGGGCGGATCACAAGGTCAGGAGATTGAGACCATCCTGGCTAATACACAGTGAAATCCCGTGTCTACTAAAAATACAAAAAAATTAGCCGGGCATGGTGGCGGAGGCCTGTAGTTCCAGTTACTCATGAGGCTGAGGCAGGAGAACGGTGTGAACCTGGGAGGTGGACTTTACAGTGAGCTGAGATCGCGCCAC